ATATCGCAACTCGGAGCAAGTCAGCTTCTCAGGAGTCACTATAAAACACTTTCGGCCCTACAAGGGGCTCTCATCATTTAAATGCTTACAGTAACCCGAAGATTCTCTCTCAAGGTAGTATAGGACATACGCCCCAAATCAGGGTTCGGTACGATTTGCGTAAGAACCCCACAAAAAATAACAAAATCCGTCCTTTCAAGATCGTTCATCTTTCGGGGTTCTGAATGAAATGGTAGAAGGGGCTCATGGCCATGCGCATGAAGAGGAAGACCTTGCCCACCAGCAGCGCATAGGTCACGGGCATGGGTGGCACCTTCCCGACGCGAAGGTAGCGGAGGTTGGCCAAGGAGAAGAAGACGAGGATTATCCTTGGACTAACACAAGAGGGCTTAGGGTTTAGGGTTAGGGTTTAGGGTTTAGGGTTTAGGGTTTAGGGTTTAGGGTTTAGGGTTTAGGGTTTAGGGTTTAGGGTTTAGGGTTTAGGGTTTAGGGTTTAGGGTTTAGGGTTTAGGGTTTAGGGTCCAAAGAGGCTCTAGGAAAGGGGTGGTAGGTTCAGAGCTCGAGTTCCTAACTCTTAGAAAGGTGTTGCCAAAAACTGGACTCGGCGTCAGTGTGCAGACGAAGAGAAGCACAGGTAGGAGGCTGCTTCCTGGGTTGGGGTTTAGGGTTTAGGGTTTAGGGTTTAGGGTTTAGGGTTTAGGGTTTAGGGTTTAGGGTTTAGGGTTTAGGGTTTAGGGTTTAGGGTTTAGGGTGTAGGGGTGTAGGGTTTAGGGTTTAGGGTTTAGGGCTTAGGGCTTAGGGCTTAGGGCTTAGGGTTTAGTGTTTAGGGTTCAGGGTCTTGGAAGACCAATAAGGAAAAATATTCCCAAAGCCAACCAAGCTTCTCTCAAACTGCTCGAAGGCGTTGTAGTCATGGGGCTGCTCAGACAGGTTCAGGCTGTACCACACGAGAAAAGCAGCAGAAGCAACGAGCGCAGAAGCTCCCAAGCAGCGGATGGCACACCCGAACCGGTCCACCAACAGCACCAATGGGTTGACGATGTACCGCAAGGGGATCGACACAAGAACCTTTCGTTCTTCTGCCAATCTCTGGAAATTGCAAAGGTTATGCTTATGCCTGCGCAGTTCCTCCCGCTAACGAAGCCACCTTGGAACCTAATGGACTCAATTGATTCTACTCGGCCAGGAGAGGAACGAAGAGCACCCAGCTGTCGTTGTCAGACCGCAAAGCCTCTGCCAGACCCAGGAGTTCAGCCGTCTCGGCGATCAGGACTTTGGAAGCAGCCACAACGCCTTCGCCGATGAGGGGTGGACCGCTTTCTCTTCTCCGGCACGTGCCTAACCTGGGCGTCACAAGAAATGTAAAAATATGAGCTATGGTGTTGTGAATATATCATGGTAAATGACATGGCTGCTCATAGATTCCGGAAACACACCCTCCGCTTCCAGGTGGGTGACACAACAACTAGGACCCTGGACGTCTAGTATCGGGAAACATTCAGGGTCCTCAACGTCACTGTGTTCGCCCTTGATTAAACCCTTTGATTTATATATATATATATGTATATGTATATATGTATATATGTATATGTATACCTATATAATAAAAATATGGAGTCGCTTAGAAACCCAAATAAGGAATTTAAAAAGTTCTCGAAAGCAAACCAAGATCAGCCCAATAACTCCAAGGAATGTCCCAGGACGTAGAGGTCCAAGCGCAGGAAAAGCTGGCCTCGGCAAGGCCCTTAAACCCGTAGGGTTTAGGGTTTGGGGTTTAGGGTTATTCATAACATATGATCCCAGTAACGGAAAACAAAAAAATGTCCCAAGGTCCTACCAAGTGACAGAGAAGCGATAGAAGGCCGCCCAAACAGCGCAGCACACCATCGCACAGGTGAGACTCCATGCTCCTTTGGGAGTGCCCTAAACCCTAAACCCTGAACCCTAAAACCCTAGACCCAAACCCTAAACCCTAAACCCTAAGCCCTAAGCCCTAAACCCTGAACCCTAAATCCTAAACCCTAAGCCCTAAGCCCTAAACCCTTAACCCTGACCTAGGAATGAACAGGGTAACCTCTTTGGCTTTAAGGGGATTCTTAGGGAACCCCAACACTGAAAAAAGGAAATCAGGGCCTACTCCGGGTCCTAGTTGTCGAGGGGTGTCCGCCTAAATGAAAAGAGCGGAACTCCAAGTTGTGGGTCTTATAGGGTTTAGGGTTTAGGGCTTAGGGTTTCGGGGAACCCTCCTCTACCTTGGGAGGTTCCCCCTTAACCGGTCCTTAATAGAGATTATAGCACCCCCCCCATTATACTGACTGCTAGTATAAGGTAAAGCCCTATAACCCTAAACCCTAAACCGCCAGACATGAGCTTGAGATTTTTGGGGCCGGCTGCACTGGGTCTTGGGCATGCTGTCAAGCCGACATGCAGCACTGAAAAAAACACTTTCGCGCAATTCGGTTTAGGGTTTATAGGGTTCAGGGTTTTGGGCCCAGTGTTTCAGAGTCGTACGAAAAAGCTATCCCTGAAAGTACACTTCTCAGCACATGTCTCTCCTTAGGCACACTGCGCAAGGGCTTGGGGCATTGAGGGCTCATAAACCTGCTGAGTTTTTGGGCTGGAAGTAAAATGGGGAGGCTACGCCTCCCCCCCACTGTGTGCCCTCCCTGCACAAAATCAGGTGCAAAGAAGCCTCAGGATTAGGCATTCATGGTTTGTAGGGTTCAGGGTTTGCAGGGTTTAGAAGGCTTGTAAGGTTTACCTTGGCCTGATTTTGGATGGAGGGGGGCTGCTGCAGGTACCAGAAATCTCCGAGGTCAAGCCCCATGATCGCCTAGCACCCAAAGAGTGCCTAGACACTAAGTCTTGTCCGTCAGGGTATAGGGTATAGGGTATAGGGTATAGGGTATAGGGTATAGGGTATAGGGTTTAGGGTTTGTTTAGGGTTTAGGGTTTAGGGTATAGGGTTTAGAGTTTAAATTTAGGTTTACTCGGCGCCGTCTCTGAGGGTTTAGGGTTAGGAAGCTGCTGGTCGAGCACTGTCAGTGTAGTTGCTGCGGAGATAGGGCCAAGGAACTTTGTTCCTATGAGAACTCTAAACCCTGAACCCTGAACCCTGAACTCTAAACCCTAAACCCTAAACCCTAAACCCAAACCCTAAACTCAAAACCCAAAACCCAAAACCCTAAACCCTAAACCCTACACCCCAAGCCAGCTCTCGCCAAAGCAACCTGCCGCAGTGCAGAAGCGGAGCACCTGCTGTTGTGCAAACGCGTCTCTGGCCACTGACTGTTTAGGGTTTAGGGTTTAGGGTTTAGGGTTTAGGGTTTAGGGTTTAGGGTTTAGGGTTTAGGGTTTAGGGTTTAGGGTTTAGGGCTTAGTTTTTTTTTCAATATTTAAGGTCAACCCGAGGCTGTACCCTTCCCCCCAAGCCTTCAATTCGAGCCCCTGGAACTCTCAAAACCGCAATCCCCTCCAGAAACCCTCTCCCCGAAAAGAAAAAAAACCTAAACCCTAAACCCTAAACCCTAAACCCTAAACCCTAAACCCTAAACCCTAAACCCTAAACCCTAAACCCTAAACCCTAAACCCTAAACCCCAAACCAAAGAGCTGGTGGGCTGGCCCGTGGCTTCTTGCAAGGCTGTGCTACAGGGGCCTTAACAAATTAGAATAACATTAGGGGTCGGAATAATTGCTAATGGTGTTCCCTTAGGGTCCCTTTATGATTATACTGCCAAAGCCCTCCAAAACCTTGTTCTAATTATTAAGGCCCCCTATAGTAGGGGCATCGCTCTCTCCAAGGAGATTGCTGCCAAGTTCAGGTGTGCGTGAGCGACGAATGTGCGCAAACCTATCCCAGGACCCTCAAGCCTGGAAAGTTCAATGGTCTGTGGGCTTAGACCCTAAACCCTGAACCCTGATTCCTAAACACTAAACCCTAAACCCTAAATCAATTAGGGTTTGAAGGTTCAGGGTACCAACGTATAGCCCGAACTTTAACTTGTAAGCCTCCTAGGTCCCTACGTCCGCTAAGTAGGTTGTAAGTAGACTTATAACTTGGGGTTCGAAGTGCCCATGAACCTCCAAGTAGGGCCCCTAAACCCTAAACCTTAAACCCCATAAGTCTTTTGGGCAGAGAGCCCTGAGGCCGGCGGGCCTCGCAGCGATGACGCCGAACACGTCCAAAGAGCGCCATGGCCAAGACCTGGGTTTGAGGGCTCAGGGTTAGGGTTTAGGGTTTAGGGTTTAGGGTTTCGGGTTTAGGGTTCTGGGGTTTAGGGTTTAGGGGGTTAGGGGGTTAGGGGGTTAGGGGGTTAGGGGGTTAGGGGGTTGGGGTTTAGGGTTTAGGGTTTCGGGTTGCTGTTCCAGGGCTCGCACAGGGCATGTGGGGTGTTTCAGGTTCTTTGCCGTAGGGTCCCCCTTATTCTAACAAGGGTATGTGTTGGGATGTTCCCCCTTATTCTAACAGTCCTTAGTAGCCATTATAGTACTCCCGAATATAATCCCTGTAAAGGGCTGTCAGCATAAGGGGGGGGGGGGGGGGACATGACAAGGTATGTGGTATAGTAGGGATTATCGAATCCAGGGGCCCTCAAGGAGGCTTGCCTCCCCGTCGGCCCGGAGAGCATACAGAGAGGAGCGGCGCCCTCCAGGCAGCCGGGTGCCGACGCCCCTCGGCAACCAGGAGACGGGCTACCAGTTTAGGGTTTCGGGTTTAGGGTTTAGGGTTTAGGGCTACAATCCCCATAATCAACCCGACAAAGGGCCTTTTTATGGGGGTTGTAGGGAATACCAGCCCGTCCTGGAAGGTTCCGGGTTGTGTGGCTTTTAAGGTTCCCGTAGGGTTTTGTCATGATTTAGGGTTTAGGGTTTTTGGTTGGGTTTTAGGGTTAAGGTTTTTGTTTGGGTTTTTCAGGGTTTGTAGGGTTTAGGGCCTTTTAGGATTTAGGGAAGCCCCAAAACTTGCCAAAACCAGAAGCGCAAAGCGTATCTGGCAGACTTGTAGGGGAGCGCCCCCAAAGCTCCCATAAGAGCCTCGAAGCTTGAACGCGTAGCCACCCAGCCACCTTCTTCAACTGCTTTCCCTCTGTTTCGCGACAGATCGTAAGTCTTTCTCATGTTTCTAAATACCTCAACTCTGTTTTAAGACAACCGACGTATAGAAATGAACCCAGATCCCGGTGGATGTTGGCAGCATGCTTGGTCACGACTGACACGCCCACAACATGCGAAACTGTATGAATGTCCTGCAAGTCCTGCCACGCTCGAAGCCACCAATAGCATGTTAGCTGCGCCCCCTTTCACCCCCAAAAACCTTGCACTAGGCGTCAAGAAAGTGTCCCTCTGCAACCCACCAGTTTCAAGCCCCCCTCAAGCCATGGCCGGGGGGCAGCAAGTGGTGGGCAGCAAGAAACCTGCATGGACTTTCATAGGGCAACGCCAAGGCATGCGCCAGGCCGTGTGAGCTGCAAACGACAGAGAGGTAGCTGCAAGACACCCCTTTTTTTGGTTTTGCCAAACACCCCTAAACCCTAAACCTTAAGCCTGAAACCCGAGCATCGGGGTTTATAAACTTTAGGGCTTGCCATTCAAGAACTTCGTGCATCGGATTTGTCTGGTCTTCTTCTTGGGGTGGCCGGGGGTGATATAGTCTCAGACAGGTTCTGCACCTCATCCCCAAGCTCCATAGTCCATAGCTCATTTCGGGCGCAGGAATCCACCCCTTCATATCTCACAGTCTCACAGGAAGCGCAAGGTGAATAGGCCACGGGAGCAGGGCCTTCGCCCTTCTTCGCGCTCGAGGCCCGCCAGCCGCGTCGCGCGCGTGTTGCGCGCGAAGATGCGGCGGTCGTCTGGGAGGATGCTGCAGATCGGGCGGGGGGGTTGGAGGAGCCGGGCTCTTGTAGTAGCCTTTTTGTGATAGGTGGTCTGAGATGCTCCCGTGAGCGCCATGTTGGCATACGTGTACCAGGACGGGGTATTATGCTCTAAAACCCCTTACAAAGGCCCTTAAAAGAGTTGATTGTGGGGATTATAGGGCGCTAATAGCCCGTCCTGGAATATCTGCATATGGTGACCTCAGACAAGGTCGGAACAGGGTAGGTTGGGAGGAGAGGAGGCTACATGTTGCGACGGCATCCGCATACATGCGTTTGCAGATGGAAAAGCATGGCCACAATATCATGTGCTTCCTCTATACCGCAATTGAAGAATCACCAACCACAAAGGCCTTTGGACTAAAATTTACAGTAGAACTTGCAGAGGCTTCCTCATGTCAATTGCAGACGTCTTCCTAAACGATCCTCATGCACCCAAACCTACACAACCTAACACCCTTGCACGCAGCTTGCCGGGCCAAGCTGCAGAATCCAAATATCGCATTCAGCATGGACCGGACAAGGCGATTTTTGCCTCAGGAGGCCAAGTGGGTATTACTCTGAATGTGCCCCAAAGCACGGGAGCCAAGTATGCGAGAGCGGACCAAGTATCACTTTATCTGGCTGGTTCTTAGTAGGGAATCAGGTACCCGAAAAAATCCCTTAAAGGGTATATAAAGGCCCCTAATTCCCTCATTCCCTGCTAAGACCCAGGGGGCTATGGTGCGTACGATTTGGGCCGTGATGTCGACGATTCTCAAACCCTAGCTGGTCGACGGTTGTATCATGGATTCCCCTACTACCCCCCTCTTTTCCTACCCCCCCCACCTAGGTTCTCCCCATCATTAAGGCTATTTAGGGGTAAAGCCCAACTTAGGGTATAGGGTTTAGGGTTTAGGGTCGTATGCAGGGGGGTAGTAATGAAACCCAGGACTGTAGGGTTGAGAACAAGCACGTCGCTCTCAACACCCTGGGTGTGGACCACTCTGTGCCACAACTTCTGGAATCAAAGCCCGCAGCCTCAACCCAAAACCCCTTTTATACACCTTAAGAAACCTACCTTTTTCGTAGGCTCTGCGTATACAAACCACTTGTAGGATACTTATAGGTGACCCACAAGAAAATAGGAGGTCTTGTGTTCTTAAGGTACACCCTTAAGGCCCCTAAACCCTAAACCCTAAACCCTAAACCCTAAACCCTAAACCCTGAACCCTAAACCCTAAACCCTAAACCCTAAACCCTAAACCCTAAACCCTATTTGGCCCTCCACTCTGAAGTGCGACTTCGGCTTGGTAGCCCAGTAACCATTTTGCCATTTGGGGACGGTTACGTCAGAAGGGAACCTTTACAGTTTAATGGACTTATACCTGATGTATCATTAAGGGGTAGTTTCGACTAAGCTGTAGGTAAATAGACAACCCTAAACCCTAAACCCTAAACCCTAAACCCTAAACCCTGGGGATTCAAAAGGGTACCACTGGGCAACCAAGCGCGACCAAGTCCGCGGCCCATCCAGAAGTGAGGCCACACGTGGACCAGGCGCCTCGGGGAGTCCTGGCTTGGCAATTGTAATACCAGCATGGCCTTTGATAGGGCCTCAGAATCCCCATCATCAACCCTGTAAAGGTTTCGGGTTTAGGGTTTAGGGTTTCGGGTTTAGGGTTTAGGGCGATTATAGGCCCAAGAATCCCCCTAATCAACCCGATGAAGGCCCTTTTTGGGGGGTTACGGGGTATAGTAGCCCATGCTGGTAGGGTTTAGGTCTTTGTCCCCTTTTGCTGCCCCGCCCACTCGCCTGGCTGACTGTACGACACTCTGCAGGGTTTGGGGTTTTGACTAGGGTTCGGGGAGTTCGGTCTTTCTAAGCCATTGGATTCTGAAACCGGCCTCCACTACTTCTGAGGGCGGCGCCAAACAAGCCTGCCACAGCATCTGAGGGCGGCACAAAGCCATTTGGGTGCATTTGTTTAGGGGGCTTGGGCTCTGAGTTTCGGCTACTGGGATTTGGGGCGGGGGGGGGGGGGGGGGGGGGGTGTTTGGGTTGCCTCTCTGAGGATATGTTATGGTTTCATGGCTTGGGAGGCGGTGCGGATGGGTGCTCTTTGATCTCTTGGGTGCTTTTTTGGGAAGGGTTTCATGAAAGGGCTGCTGCAGAGGCTCTTGCGAAGAATGAAAAAAGCAGCTGTGCTCAGCCTCCGCACCTCCCACTCCTCCGTCATCTCGTACGCCAGTGGCGGATCCTTAGCCCAAGAACCCTAAACCCTAAACCCTAAACCCTAAACCCTAAACCCTAAACCCTAAACCCTAAACCCTAAACAGTCTCAGGAAGGTCCAACCCAAATACTAGACGCGGGCTCTACACGTGTTCACCTCGACCAGGGACCCATGTACACACTGTTTGGGCCCTGGGGCTGCCTATAAACCCTATAAACCCTGTAAACCCTATAAACCCCATAAACCCCATAAACCCCATAAACCCTATAAACCCTATAAACCCTATAAACCCTATAAACCCCATAAACCCTATAAACCCTATAAACCCTATAAACCCTAAACCCAGGCACATGGATCCTTACCAAAGCAACTTAAAGCAACTTGTCGCTTGTGGAGTCGTGGCCTGACCGGCTCAGGGTGTGTTTATCAGTGGCGCCTCTTTTAAGGTTTAGGGTTTAGGATTTTAGGGTTTTAGGGTTTTAGGGTTTTAGGGTTTTAGGGTTTTAGGGTTTAGGCTTTAGGGTTTAAATAGGGGTTTCTGTCAAAGAAAGGGCTGTGCCAAAGCACTCAAGATCCATGCGGCTTAGGGTTTAGGGTTTAGGGTTTAGGGTTTAGGGTTTCCAGGGTGTAGGCGGTAGGGTTTACAGGGTTTAGGGTCTAGGCTCAACATAGGAGTACAAGTATCCCACGTTAGAGGTACCTGCGGGGCTTGGGCCATTGGAAAAGCCGCGCGGCCAGATCCTCCGCCCAATGTAGCCCGACGTGCCGTCCTGTGATCGCGGGGGTTTAGGGCTTCAAAGCTTATGATGAATGCAAAAGCCCCTAAACCCTAAACCCTAAACCCTAAACAAGTTAGTGCAGAACTTCTGCAGAAGAGCTAAGGTTGAACCCCCCGAACCCACAAAACCTGCTGGCTACACCTGCCATGCTGCTCCCGCGTCACCTGCCCTATCCAAGGACAGGCCCCCAAACCCTAAACCCTAAACCCTAAACCCTAAACCCTAAACCCTTAGACACACATGAGACCTTCGGAACCCTACATCACAGGGCTCGTACCCAGGTGCCGGAATGTCTGTGCGCACGGAAGCTTCGCAAGCCAATGCCGAAGCACCTCGAGACTCCTTGACTTTAGGGGACTCAGACCAACAGCTCTGAATAGGGATTCTAGCACCCCCTATTCTCATCCCGAGTAAGGACTGTAGCAGAGTTGAATGGCAGTCACCCCCGATCCCAAGTCCACCGTTAGCAGTCCGTTGGCAGACAGAAGACGCACGGGCCGGCCAAGGCAAGTGGCCTTGCGGCGCGGGCACCAAAAACAACTACCATTTAAATGCTTAAGAACCCCCCCAAAACCAAAAAACATGCCTCCTTATGTGGGTTATTTAGGGATTATGATCGTTTTTTTCTTGTTGGGGTTCTTAAGCAAACAGTCGCAAAGGGGCTCCGGAAGAGCCTCTGGCCAGTGAGGATTTGCGCAGGCCCTTTCTTTTTATCATGCTGGTTTGCCTCGCCCCGGTTGGTGATCTTAGTAGCCCGGTCACCATATCATAATAAGGGTACCTTAGAACGTTCCCCCTTACACTAACAGTTCTTACTAGGGATTCAAGTAGGGTACAGTATCTACTATCTATGCTGGTGATAACCGTATTTAGGGCACCTATAGTGATCCCTGCTTATAAGTACCCATGAACCTCCAACGAAACGGCTAAAGTTCCGAGTGCAAGATGCCTACGCCTGCCACACCCGATCTACTCACAACTTCGTGGAGTACGCACAGTCCACTCTCAAGTTCGCGGAGCACTCTAAGTTCGTAGTGCACCATGCCTGCCACACCCGATCTGCGCTTTCAACACCCGACCGATCCACTGTCAAGTTCGCGGAGCACTCTCAAGAAACCCCTCTAAACCCTTTTTTACACCTAAACCCAAAACCCAAAAACTCTAGAAGCCCTGTAAACCCAAAAGCTGTAACACCTCCCAAGATGCCCCGAAGCCTCCTCGCTGACCTCGGCAAAACTGTCAAGGAAGCGGACGAAATCATCCTGAGGGGCTCCTGTTACGAGGAAACTACTTGGAGGTTCATCTGGGTACCTATTAAGTGGGGTTTAGGGTTAGGGCTTAGGGTTTAGGGTTGGCGTGTAAGGTTTAGGGTTTAACGTTTAGGGTTTAGGCTACTTGGAGGTTCATCTGGGTACTTATTAAGTAGGATTATAAGGACCCGATGCAATGTGATACCCATAGATACCTTGTAACCCTTCCTTTTGGAGTACCCATGAACCTCCAAGCAGGCTCTACGGTTGCCGATGAAGGAAAAGAACACAAGACAAAATTGTGCTGTTCTTTAAATGGGGCCCTCTTCAGGAAACCTAACCGGCTAACAAGCCTGCACCTGTTGGGACAATAGGGTTTAGGGTTTAGCCCGGTTTAGGGTTTAGGGTTTAGAGGACAATCCCTGCACCCTGCTCCTCGCGACCCTCTCGGATGCACTCCTCGTGCGGCATGTAGTTGCACGCATGCAGGTTGGACTGGTGCTGGGAAGATGTCCTGTGTGAGGACGGCCTGAGGAAGAACAAGAAACCCTACCGGCAAACCATAAAGTTTCTGTCAACTGCAATGGCTCAGTCTCCAATCTTTTGAGCCCATATCCTCAGCTGCCCAAGCAAACGAACTTGCTGTAAGCCCTAAACCCTAAACCCTAAACCCTGAACCCTAAACCCTGAACCCTAATCCCTCCTTGCAAGGGCCCTGACGAGGCCAGGGATTAGACGAGCCGGCATGCAGGCGCGCGCCGTGCCGCTGCCGCCGCCGTCGTCGTGGCTGCTCTCTGCTAGGTAACTACCAGGATGGGCTAAGGTTTAGGGTTTCGGGTTTAGGGCTTACGGTTTAGGGTTTAGGGTTCAGGATATAGGGTATGAGGCCCTATAATCCCCATAATCAACCCTATGAAGTGCCTTTTTTGGGGGGGGGGTTCTAGTACCGAAACAAGATGCAAGGACATACGTGCGCAGCCAATGTAGCCGACAAACAAAACTGCATCAAAAAGGGGACTAGTCGCGCAAGACGCTCTTACGTTGCTGAAACGACTGATGCACAGAGTCTGCTTTCTAGAGCTGCAATTAGAGGGGATGTGAGTATCTGCATAGACTGCTGCAAGGACCTTGTGGCTTACGCCTCCCGAACTTTGCGAGCCTGGCATTCTTAAGCACATGCAACGTGCGAACTAGAACCACTGCAACTGCCCACAACGCCTGACTGAGGCCGAGCCAGCTATCTTTTTGCTTCATTCCAAATGCCTAAGCCCCAAAAACCCTCAGCAAGGGGGGGGTGGGGAGGGTGGGGGGGCTCAAACTCGTATGAGAAGAACTTTAGAATTTTGGTAGTTATACAAAGGGGTTCTCTATTTCGGGACATGCTCATATCATTGAGATTTCCCTGCAAAGATTGATGCACGCAGTAAATACATACGCATAGACTTCTTGATTTCGCTCAGAGTTTGCGTATGCCACTACATGCTTTTTTGCTTGTGTAGCGACCCCCCCCCCCCTCCCCAAACTATATGCATCTCTTTCTTCCTGACGGCATGCACGTCGTCATCAAAGTACACCACCTCCGAAACCTCACAAGCTTGATTCAACACAAGTTGCCCACGCCCTGAGTCTCGTGCCCAAACCCCCAAGAGGCCGAGGGCCCCTTAAGCCAATCTAAACACTTCATATTTCTGTGAAGGAATTCCCCTCAACTCAAGAAAATTGGCCTCGCAAGGGATCCCCCTCTAAGCTCCTTACTTCTCCAAGAACCCAAAAGAAAAATGTTGAACTTTATTATGTTCCTACCAATCAGGAAACCCAGAAAAATCAAGGTTCAACTATTGGCTAAGTAAGGTCTGGTGCCGTTTTGGGGTTGGTTACTTTATAAGGGAAACCAGAACCCAAAAAAGAGAGTAGAGGGTACCGCCGGGCCACCCTAAACCCTAAACCCTAAACCCTAAACCCTAAACCCATAATGCAGTCACATGTCTTCAAAGACTCGGCGCCTTTTCTTTGTTTGGCCCCTTGGGATCCATCCCTCAGCGCCGCGGCGGCGAGGGTGGTGGCGAAGGCGCCTCTCTCAGAACGGGGGTTTAGGGTTTAGGGTTTTGCGGGTTTGGGGTTTAGGGTTTTGGGGTTTTGGGGTTTTGGGGTTTAGGGTTTAGGGCTTGGGGTTTAGGGCTTAGGGTTTAGATTCTGGATCTGAAGTGTAGGGTGAGGCGGAACGCGGGTATAGACCCTCCCAATTCGACTCTGCCAGCGTGCGCCGCCCCAACCCCGGGTAACCTCCAGGGCCGAAGCTTAGCTTTGGAGTAGACCCTGGAAAAAAAGTATATACTTTTTAGGTATAAGTAGCTATATAATAGGAACCCAGAACAAAAAAAGTATTAAAGTACAGTACCCCAAGACCCAGGAAGTGATAGGGGCGCTGTTCTTAGAGCCATCCCCTGTGTTTGGAGTTTGGGGCTTAGTCTCCCTGCTCGTGTAGGGATATGGCATTGACCCTCAACAACAATGGCGTATACCCGACATGAACCCCAAACCCCATAGGCCCTGCATAAACCCGCGTACGAATTCTTCATTGACTCTATATTCATGAAAAATATGTGAGTAGGAACTCTGAATTGGGGTCTCTTTTGAGGTCTTTAAATATTTAATTTACGGGTGCCGTACATAAACAGGGGACCCAACAAGGTACCCTCATCTAGAGAGCTACCCATCTAAAGGTAAGCCCTTGATCCTCAACCCAGAACCCTTTTGCAACAGGCCCTCAACCCTAAACCCTTAAACCCTGAACCTAAACCCTAAACCCACCAACCCAAAACTCTTTGTAAGCCCTCACGCCTTCCAGGGCCCCCCCTCCCCCCCCCCCCCCCCCCACCAAACCCTAAACCCTAAACACTAAACCCTAAACCCTAAACCCTAAACCGTGCGCCTCAATGTCGCTTTCAACCTTCTGACGCTTCCTCGGTTCGGCAAAGCCAGGCTGGTAGGGGTTGAGGATTTAGGGTTTAGGGTTGAGGGTTTAGGGTTGAGGATGTAGGGTGCCAGGGAGCACAAGGTGAGGTTTGGGGGCTGGGATTTTTGGGCTTTAAGGTTGCGCCCTAGTAAAGGTATTCTGATTAAGCCAAGTTTACTCAGGACAGTGTGATTGTTTTGGGGTGCGCGGTGGGATCCTCAATTAAGTCAAACCGTCCGGATGTTGTAAAACAATTTCGTGCGGCGCGCCCTTAAAATCAATTCTGGGCGTCTCTGTCACTTTTCAACTCATATAGACTCCTAAAGAAGCACAACCAGCTTCGACTGTTCAGGGGCAGCGGGGGGGGGGGGGGGGGGGGGGGTGGTGGCACACTAAAGAGGGTACAACGGGTACAACATTCGGGGTTTAGGGTGTTAGGGCTTCGTAGGGCTTAGCGCTTTGTTATGGCCACCAAAGGGTGGAGTGCTGAAGCTTTCGGAGCTTCAACGAGCTGCGGCGCGGCTTGCCACGAAGAAAGAGCTTAGAGGGGCTGAAGATCATGAAAGTTATGTTGAGGACCCTGGGTCGGCCCGGTAGTTTCTGTGGGGTACAAGCAAGTCCGGTCCCCAAGGAAAACCAGAGACACAGGCCCCAAGGACGTGCAGACAAGGCAGCGAGGTGAGAATCGGCGCAAATGCCTCAGCCACAAAGTATACTGGGAGGTTCAGCGGTACTTATGGGTATATCGCGTGATGCGCAAGGCAACTACGTATGGTGGTTCATGGGTACTGAGAAGTAGGGTCAGAAGTAGGATGGGTATGGCTGCACCTCACTGTGGGTACTTATGCAATCATTTGTAAGCTACACTCCCCTCAGAACCTTACTCAAAAACATTTTGTGTTGAATATTCCCTTGGGTTTCACATAAAAGGAATAAAGGTCCTATAAGCTTAAGTATCCATGAACCTCCAAGCACACTCCCTAAACCCTAAACCCTAAACCCTAAACCCTAAACCCTAAACCCTAAACCCTAAACCCTAAACCCTAAACCCTAAACCCTACTTAAAAGTACTTAAACACTCCAAGCACTCCGCCTGCTTGGTGACCACGGCTCCCCCACGCTTCAGCTGCTTGGTGCCCACCGAGGCCCACCTTCAGTTGCTGCCTTTTTCTTCTGTTGTTGCCACTGGCTTAGGGTTTAGGGTTTAGGGTTTAGGGTTTAGGGTTTAGGGTTTAGGGTTTAGGGTTTAGGGTTTAGGGTTTAGGGCTAGGCGCAACAACTTCAGGAAGGCGAGTTCTGGTTCGGATAGCCAACTGGAGTGGTTGACATTGACTGCGCGAAAATGTCTTCGGTATCTGACTGAGGGCTGGCCCGCAATGTTTAGAGTTTAAGGGTTTTGGAGTTGGGGGGTTCGAGGTTTGGCTTGCGACTCTCACACTCGCCCCCAAGGCAGGCAAGACTTTCAGTATTTAAGAGTCTTGGTAGCCCGGAAACCACAATGATATTTAGGGCACCCGATTTCGGGCTACTTGCTAAGGGAACCCAGAACCAAGGAAAAAAGGGCAAAGGGCACCGCAGGGCTACCAAGAGACTGAACCACCAATGCAGGGACAGTCAAGGCGGGGGCTTACGCCTCGTGGGCCCCCTTAATTTTTCTGGCTGACGCCGACTGTTGGGTCGAAACTGTGCACCGGCCACAAACCCTAAACCTTGGGATGTTCCCCCTTATACAAACAGTCCATAATAGGGATTCGAATCGGGAGTGATGTAATCCCTACTAAGGAGCTGTTAGTATAAAGGCGGGAACATCCCAGCCCTAAACCCTAAACCGAAAACTGGAAAAGACGGAACTACCCAGGAAGTCACCGAAGATGAAGCAACATGGCTGGGACTTTGGCTGGGCCCTGCTACAAAAACACGGGCTCTTGTCAATCCGCTAACTCCTTGGTAGCCCATAAACCAGAATATGGTTTAGGGTTGAAGCCTAGGGCCCTATTTTGGGGTTGGCTACTTTATATATGGGAACCCAGTACCCCAACAAGAAGAGTGAAGGCTACCACTGGGCTAACAGGACTCACACAAAACACACCACAAAGTCGCAAAGCGCAGGCAAGCCGCACATGCTGAAGTGAGAGTCGCAACATGGCGAAGGCGCCTCATGCAACACGTGAGTCATGTCCAGAAATTCCGCGAAAGGCACATCCGCGGTTTGCAGGGTCTGAACGTGGTTTGTGGGGTCAAAAAACAACAAAAGCTCAACAGCTCCAAGAAACAAAATTCATGATCAACCCTCAACCAACTTTAAGGGAAACCCAACACCCTTATTCAAGGGATTAAGACTCGTACCCCTAAGGTCGTACCCCTAAAGGTTTCCCGCAATTTTCTCCTAACATTGCCATTATATTCCCTTAGAGGATCTTCAAAAAAGGTTACCCAAACCCAAGGGTAGAACCTTAGGGGTCCGAGCTAGAGTCCCATGACTTCTACCCCCCTCCGACCCCCCAAAACCCCAAACCCCAAACCCTGAATCCAAAACCCTGAACCCTTTTTTCTAAACCCTAACCCCCAAACCCTACACCCCAAACCGAAACCCCTGGACCCTAAACCCTACACCCTAAATCAAACCCTGAACCCTGAACCCTAAACCCTAAACCCTAAACCCTGAACCTCAATCCACTAAGCAAACCTTCCCGCCTTTTGCCAGCTGCAGCTCGGAGCTTTGCAGTTCCGGCCTCGCGCGTGCTCTCGGGAAGCTCACATTTTTTTTCACTGAAGCCCTTCAACCCCTGTAGGGTTTAGGGTTTAGGGTTTAGGGTTTAGGGTTTAGGGTTTAGGGTTTAGGGTTAGGGTTTAGGGTTTAGGGTTTGGGGTTTAGGGTTTAGGGCTTAGGGTTCAGGGTTTGGGGGCAGATTTCCACACGTCAAGAGTCATCTAGGCATTGTGGGCCCTACAGGACTTTGCAAGGTACCGCAAATCAACCGCAGTAAGACCCTAAATCTGCAAACCCGTGTAGGGTTTAGGGTTTAGGGTCTAAAGCCCTCAACTCTAAACCCTTGTGAACCCTACTGCTAACCTCCGGAAGACACTTAAACCCTCAACCCTAAACCACCATAAACCCTAAACCATCATAAACCCTAAAGCCCTAAAGCGTTCAGCCCTCACCTTCGCTTTTTGGCGGTGGCAGCGGTAGAGAACATGCTGAAGAAACCGCGTCCTGGCCGACATCGTCCTCCCTCAGACCCTACATAGGGGTTTAGGGTTTAGGGTTTAGGGTTTAGGGTTTAGGGTGACACCTTACACCCTACACCCTCACCCTAACCCCCGGAGCCCCTAAAGTGTCCGGACAGGAACCGAAAGGTGCTGGAAGCCGGAGTCTTTCGGCTTCCAAGAAGTTTCCCGGGTTTTTGCTTCTACCCCCCTAGTTATAAGTAGAGTTATAAGGGCCCTAAATTGGGTTATAAGGACCCTAAGTTAGGTTATAAGTCCCTTAACTACAGTTAGTATAGTAAGGGGGCCCCACCCTGTATACCCCTTGTATACAGTACACAGAATAAGGGCCCATACTTCGGATCTCCAAGGGTTTAGGTGTTTTTGGTAGGGACCTCCTGTGAGAACTCCGTGTTTCTTGCCAGCCGTCTAGCCATGCTCCACGGGGGGGAACTGTAGAGAGTAGGGCTTCAAATCCCCTATTGGGCAACCAAGTGATAACTAGAGCAGGAGAGTGGCCAAACGCGTTCGCCTTTCAGCATTGCTTGAGAGGCACTCTGCCCCAGCTCTGCTGGGTAGCTTTTGTATATCAAACAATTTCGAAGAAATAGATTAGAAGGCAGTCCTTCCTTGAGGCACCCGGACCTAAACCCTAAACCCTAAACCCTAAACCCTAAACCCTAAACCCTAAACCCTAAACCCTAAACCCTAAACCATCAACAGCAGGCGCTATGACCATTCTGAAGCCGTAGCCACGCCCGTGATGCCCAAGTCAGGGCTGGCCTGCTATACAGGTAAACTCTAACCACCCTAAACCCTAAATCCTAAACCCTAAACCCTAAATCCTAAACCCTAAACCCTAATCCCTAATCCCGAGCAACCTTAACACAAAAAAATGGCGAGCCCAGCTCCTTTAGCTTGGCCCGCCTGCGATTGCGAGCCAAGCATCTCGTCATGCGGGCTTAGGGTTTAGGTTTAGGGTGTAAGGCGTCATCTACGGGCCTGTGTAAATAGAATGGGTATGGAGTAGTGTACATTGGACATACAACAAGGACTCTGTTTAGGGGTATAGCCTTGGCATTCGTTGTGGCCCCTTGCGTTGTCTCTACTTCTTGTGCCTTGCTTCAGCTCGCCGTCATGCACAAGCCCGCAGGTCTCCCAAGTAACATTCAAAGAGGCCAAACAGAACATCTAACCCTGAGCTTTACACCCTAAACCCTAAACCCTAGAAACCCTACCTACCATGCCTCGACGGCGTACGTAACGATCCCCGTCATAAAGCGGCTCAACGTCTGGCCGAGCACTTTGCCTTGCCTTCTCTGAGTCTGAGCTCCTTTTTTCTATTGGGTTTAGGGTTTAGGGTTTAGAACCTCAACACGGATAAGGCTTATGGTCCATACAGCTAGATAGGGATTAGAGTGACATGTAGATGACTCAAAGTTCGGGTTCATGTAGTACCAAGGAGGTACAGCCTTACGCTAGCAGGACTTGTGTTGTTTAGGCTTCAACCTAAACCCGGCTTGTAGTTTTGGTTGTTGTTGGTTGCCACTTAATATAGTGGCGCCTTAATAATAAGAACAGGGTTTTGGGCTATCATAGCACAATTGTAAAGGGACCATAAGGGAGTACTAGTAGACATTTTTCCGACCCCTATAGTACGTAAACTTTGGTAACAGCCCTTAAGCCCTTGGGACTCAGTGAGTCTGCAGAATCCTGGAGGAGTTTTTAAGGTCCATCTTCCGTAGCAGGGATCCCCGGGGAAAGATGCAAGGTAACGTCGCCTGGTCTATGAGACCTTTCTTCTAAACTACATAAAACTTACCCTAAACCCTAAACCCTAAACCCTAAACCTTATAAACTCTAAACCCTTGGATAAGGAGGCAGGACAATGGCATGGAGCTTCTAGGGCTCCTCATGCAGGCTTTAGGTGAAGGGTTGTTTTTTTATCAGCTTCAGACTTCGCTGCACTTAGCAGGGTAGCTAAAAAAAACGAATGCTGCCTTGGTGAGAAACCCGATAAACCTAAAAAGGCTAAGGATCTAAAGTTACAGAAAAGCACCACAGAGCAGGAGTCATCTGGGAATAACAAGGGGTGCCCTTTTTGGCTTTCAGGGGATGATCTTTCGGGTTTTCAAGGGGATTATAAGGGAACCCCAAGAGCTAAAAAAAAACCCTAAACTGGCCCTAAACCCTAAACCCTAAACCCTAAACCCTAAACCCTAAACCCTAAACCCTAAACCCTAAACCCTAAACCCTAAACCCTAAGGTTCAGGGGACTGGAAGGCGCAGAGCTCAGCCAGCCGGCGCGAGGTGCACGGGCCATCAGCTCAGCTGCTCTTGGACTTCTCCAAGGTCTCCTCAATCCTTTTGGAGAGGGTTTAGGGTTTAGGGTTTAGGGTTCAGGGTTTAGGGTTTAGGGTTTAGACCTGGAGAGGCGCAGCGTTTTCGCATTGAGACCCTTCACTTTTTCTAGGAAGGCCAAAACAAAACATGCCCCAAAGCACTTGACCCTCAACTTTCTTGCACCTTGTACTTTCTAGCAGGGCCAAGATAGGCTTGATGGTTTTTGTGTGTGGGGGTTAGGGGCTTGCAGGGTCAAAGGCCCTGTCCTGGGTAGAAAGTTTTGAGGGGAGCTCACTAAGGCCTAAGCCCTAAACCCTAAACCTTGGGATGTTTCCCCCTTCTACTAACATCTCCTTGGTAGGGATGATAGTACCCCTTACTATAATCCCGATTAAGGACTGCTAGTAATTATACGGGGGGAACCCTAAACCGTTAACCCTGCACCCTTTTTCTTGCCCCTAAACCCTAAACCCTAAACCCTAAACCCTAAACCTTAAACCCCAAACCCCAAACCCCAACCCCAAACCTAAACCCTAAACCCTAAACCCTAAAACCTAAACCCTAAACCCTAAACCCTAAACCATAAACCGAAGCTTCAGCCCTAAGCCTGAACCCCCCAGAAAACTCCAAGAGACTTGGACTTGATCTGGTCGGTGACCTTGTACTGGTCGTTCAGCTCCACGATCTCAAGGGGCTTTTGCGCGACGAAAATTAAAAGGAAGGGGGGGCTTCGAGGGTTGAGGGTTCAGGGATTAGGGCTACTGATCAGTAGCCCTAAACCCTAAACTCTCTTCCCTTGGGGTTCTTTCTGAGGCCTTCTAAGGCGCCTGCGAAGAAAGTTAAGAAGAAGGGGGCTTCACTGGCCATGAAACCCTGCACCCTCAACCCTAAACTCTCTTGCCTTGAGGGTTCTTTCTGGGGCCTTGTAAGGAACACAGGCAAGGAAGCCGGGAACCACAGACTTCCGAAAAGCTTGGCGAGTCTGGGTGTTGGGGTTGTTGGGGGGCGGAGGGTTGCAGCTCCCTGGAAGGACTGGGTGGGTTTGGGGTTTAGGGTTTAGGGTTTAGGGTTTAGGGTTTAGGGTTGAGGAGTTGACGAGTGGCCCTATAAAGCCTTAAACACAAAAACCCTGAGGACATAAGCCAGGTAGGCTACGTCCCCCCCCCGAAGGGGTGCGAATATTTCGGGTCAGCCTGTAGTCTAGGGTTTAGGGTTTAGGGTTTAGGGTTGAGGGTTGAGGGTTTAGGGTTTAGGGTTTAGGGTTTAGGGAGTCCTACATCACTGCTCGAAGGTTCCGTTGGGTACTTCGAGTCGGGTTAGGGGGCTATGGTTTAGGGTTTAGGGCTATACTTGGAGGTTCATTTGGGTACTTAGAAGTAGCATGATAAGTACCCTACATCTGGTTGTACCCAGAGTTACCCTACTTGGAACCCTACTCATAAGTACCCAAATGAGCCTTCAAGTACATCACATAGCATAGCAGGAATTCTAGTAGTGTAGAGCGAAGGGTATATATATGACCTCAGTTTTCGGGTTCCTTTGGTCCCTAGGCAGCAACAACACCATCAACATACTACAAAAAGAATTCTAGCAGCGTAGGGTATATGACCCAGTTTTAGGGTTCATGTGGTCCTTGAAACCCTCAGCCCCAAACCCTAAACCCTAAACCCTAAACCCTAAACCCTAGACCCTAACACCAAGCCCCACCTTGCCGCCCAGCTGGTTCGCCAGGTCCGTGCCGGCGAGGACGAGGGAACCCAGGGTGTCCTTGATGCCGACGTCCTTCGACAGCAGGTTTGGAGGTTTGCGGTTTAGGGTTTAGGACGCAGGGCTTAGGGTTTGGGGTTTAGGGTTTACAGTTTAGGATCTAGGGTTAGGGTTTGGGGTTTGGGGTGGGGATGTTCCCCCTTATACTCAGAGTCCTTAATTATAGTCCCCCCCATTAGAATCCCTATTAAGATGTGTTATGATAAGGGGGAACATCCCAAGTTTAGGGTTATAAAACGTCCAAACCCTAAACCCTAAACCCTAAACCCTAAACCCCAAACCCCAAAGGAGCCGAAGCCCGACCCCGCCCCGGGTCCTTGTCGAAGTCCGAGATGGCATCGGTCACGGTGTCGAGGGAGCTCTTCACCGTGGAGCTGGTCTCGCCATCCGACTTGTCCAAGGCCTTGGGATGTTC